ACTTTTCGCATCTCTGTCTACCGACAGAGGGTCGAGTATTAATGGTTACCTGGACACATCTACCATTACTCGTCGGGTACCTTTAGGGGTACACCGACCGGTGTTATTAAAAGAGTGAAAAACAGAATGCAGTTATGTGATCCGATGGGTCAGTCAGGGTTACATAAGGATTCTTAGCAATAGTGCCTAAAGGTTATGTTATTCATGCCCGTGCTTACATTCCAAAGGCAGGTTCGTAGTCCCTGACTTTAACTGCTGGACCAGAGCAGCTTGGCCATGACCAAAACGGCCAAGTTTTCATGCATCCACTTTTATAAACATCGAAACTGGGAATGCCCACTAAGGACTGTGATAACCAGATTGTTTATCGTAAACGAAACGCCTCAGTTGATCGCCGGCACTAAATGAATCCTTAGCAGTCGTAAAACGTTACATTCAGTGTTGCAAGCTACAGAATCCGCTGAAAACAACATTTTGGACGCTTGACTGTCCGAAAGCCACAAATCGTGCTGTGTATCGTGGCCATATGCCTATCAGCCTAATTAGTACCCCCAGTAAGGTCTTCGAGCGCCTCGTCAAATGGCGTATTCTGAGGCATCTAACTGAGAACGATCTGGTAGACGCTTCCCAACACGGTTTCCTCCCAAACGGGCCATGCATCTCCAACGTACTGGCCAAAATGGATAGCTTAACCCATGCCCATGACGATGGTCATATTTCGCAGTCGATCTTCATAGAATTTGCCAAAGCCTTTGACAGAGTGCCACATGTTCTCCTTCTGTAGAAACCAGAGAGTTATGACATCACCGGCCGATTGCTTTTCCTACTTACTAGCCTTCTGTCGAACCGCTCCGTTGCACCTGGAATAGTCACATTCGTTTCTTCACACTTTCCAGTCTCAATAGGAGTCTCATAGGGCTCCGTACCAGGTCCCAATCCTGTGTATTAATTAATTAATTATATTAATGATCTACCTAAACGTTTCCGTGTGGATATTGCCATGTACGCGGGGCATAGACGTATCCGGAAGTGCATTTGGCGATTGACCAAACCAAGAAAGATTCAG